TTATCCTGTTTTGCAGGAGCAGTTAAAGTTGCCATCTTCACAAACATAATCTGGCTGCTGTTAACAATCGTACTTCTATTTGCTTTGCCTCCTCTACCAGGCTTCTTTCTGGCGACTACCTTTGGTGTGCTGTTTCTGGTTGTTCCGCCTGTCAATTACATTAGAGCACTGCTCGCTATTCGTAGTCATAACGCTCAGTTGGGTGATGCAGTTACGCTCCAGATGTCAATAATATTGCAGCGCGAGAAAAGAGTCGCATTTGACATGTGCATTGTTGCCGGCTTGCTGTTCGCCTCTCTGCCACCAGCTTTTTGCATGTCGATTGTTCAAAAGAGATATCCCCGGCTACACTCCCTTCTGCTTCCATGGAGTTTGACAGTGTCGTTTATTCCGTCCTGTGCAAATCCAGTGATCTACTTTGTACGTTTTAAGAACATGAGAAATGCCTTTAAATCTATTATCAAAATTCAATGAAGCGGCTTTCACAGTCACCCATAAGTAGGCGACTGTTTTACATTCTCAACACATTTATTACAACTCCAACATGGCCGCTCCACGTGAAGGCTAACTACATAGCATAATGTACACGTGACACGTAACATGTGACCTATACTGTGACATTCCCCTCTTTACAACAGTGCCTAAGATCAGAGAAATCTTTTAAGAGCTGACACTAATAAAAATCAATGTTCAATGTTTATCAGCTGAGACTCAGATAAAAAAAAAAACTGTAACATGCCTAGGCCATAAGACGTACCTGTAACGAAGAACAATAGCGTTTAAATGTTCAGTTACATCTAACATTACTCCTTAAGGGGAGGTACGTTTTTTCTTGGCGGGAGAGGGCTGGGGAATTTCCGTACTTTTTTCAAAAAAAAGTGTTGGCCCTCTCTTTGAATATGTTTGAATATGAATATATCTCGATATTGAATGTGTGCGCGCTAAAACAAGAAAATAGGGACTTTGCGTTCCTACAGTCTTTATAGCGATTATTCCTACCCTATTCATTACTTTGTCAAATGTAGGCGAACCCTCCTGAAGCTGAATTTCAAGGGACCATGGCCAAGCTCAGAAAGAGAAATAAAATTTCGTCGTTGCTTGTTTACGTCCTCCATAAAACGCAAAATTAGGCATTCAGTTTCACGTCGTAGTCGTGCGAAAACAGGAAAGAAATGTACAAAAAAGCGTGATGCACGTGCAAAGTTGTTGTTTTGCTTATTAACCCAATTGTTTTTTTGACGTTGTCGTTGGATCTTACATTTCCTAATGCGAACAATCAGTGTGGGACATTTACGTTGTACGGTTGAAGTTTGAATATGGGAGAATAAAGTTTGAGGAATTTAAAAATTTTGAAAATAAAATATAGAAGGGAAAATGCACGCGCTTCTTTCTCCGACAAACCGGCATTGCCTTTGGTTGTTTTAATTAAAAGGTTTGTTTGATTTTTAATAGCATGCGAAATCTGCCTCTCAAAAACAAATATTTCCTACATTTTCGAATTCTGTTAAAGACAGGCAGGCTTCTGTAGGAAAGGGAAACTTCTCACACATTATTGAAGCATCATTGAAGCGTGCGCAAAGAAAGCAACAGGAATACAATGACATTGACTGGAAGATCTCTATCACAGAAACCAGTTGTCATAGCATCCCTTAGAGTAGGTAAACTTGAACTTTACATTACCACCACAATATTTGTATTTAAAAGAAAGAAATGTGAGAAAGTGAGAGTGATGAAGGCACATATTGGTAGTAAGATTTTGACTTTTATTGCGCAGGACAGACAGAAAAACATTCAGCCAGCTGCCTCTAACTCAAATTCAGAGTCTGCCACTGACAGTTACAGGGTAAAGCGCATTGTTGGACCTGCTAATGGTAACTTTTTGGAACTAAACGTCTCAAGAGACCAGGCAGCGGATAGTCAACAGGAGCAAGAAGCTGAAGAAACGATACCTGAGTCTAGTGCATCTCGATACGGAAGGAAAAGGACACGAGTCCTTCGAGAAAACTATATGCCATAGCATAATATACATGGAGAAATGTAACCTAGTACCTATAATAAATCACCAAATTAAGTCAAAGTAGGCGAAAAGAAAAACTTAATCTGTAAGAAGAATTTAAAGCAACATTACAAAGAGGTATGGCCCTCCCCTTTTGGTGATCACTTTCACTGATGACCATCCCCTCTGAGGTCCCAGCCCTCCCTCTCCAAGAAAAACATATCTTCTCTAATGGAAAACAATAGCGTTTGTTGAAATGTTCGATCAGCTGATCTGGTGGTTTCACTGTCCGTCCGGATCTGGTCTTGTACCCGCCACTTGTCTCTGGGGGCTGCTCAATCTTTGCAGGGGCGTTTAGGTTCCGGACTGTTTCCTGGTGGTTGACTAACTGCACTTGCAGGTGGTTCCATTTCCCTGAATGGGGACGGTAGTCTCGTGACTGCTATGGGTACTTGAACTGGTGAGGGCCTGTGTGCACAGGGATTTGTTAAGTCTGGCCTGGGGTGTATTCTTGTGCGGCAGTACATAATCACTTGTAATTGTTGCTATCTCAGACTTAATCCATTCTTCATTTCCTGTAGAATATTTTCTATGTATTTCTCCGAAAAAAATGTAAAAAAAATACTCATAGATTTCGTGTTTTAGTGGCAGATATAAACGCGTGTCTCCGCGATCAGTTTAACATGAGACATCGTGCTAATAAGTAAACCTCGCGTAGTAAATTTGTTTTCACTTTTCTTAAAGTAGCTGAACATTGCTACGATGCATTTCTTCCTCGATAAGTAAAACCATGAGTTTGGAAATCAAACCATTGAAATGCATTGTTTTGCCAATGAAAATCAGATCTGATACACTAACAGGAATAGTGAGTTTTGATGTTGAGTATCGATTGAGTATTTTAAGTCTTTAAAAGGTCAAAAAAACCTACTGCTGAAAAATCTACAACTGAAAACCCGCGTAGAAAACGTCCGATTTTTGTCATGGATAACATTTTTTGTAGGAAAGTACGGTATTCAAAGCACCAACGAAATGGCTTTTAAAAGGACTGTAACTTTACGCGTGAGTTTTCGATTTCCCGCCATCAGATTTGATGCGTCCACGCTATTGTCGTTCTGCGGATGCACGCATGCGCACTCAAAATGCCCTCCGGTTGGCATTACCTATTCTCTAAAAGTAATTGATGTAATAAGTAACTAACTGGCTAATTCACTTTTGAAATTACATAATGGTGTCTACCATTCATAATCTCAAAAATAAAAGCAGCAACTGGTTTATAGCGGAACTCCATAGATAAGGTAATCTACGCATTCCAGAAAATTTGTTAATCACGTGACCGACCGACCGACTGACCGTCCGTCCGCACCACAGGCATACGAATGTTTACTCTCACACTTTCTAGCTACTTTGGGAGCCCAGGAGAAAGCTGGTTGCACATCAATGTTGTCATCAATAGACAGCTGTCAAAACAGAGTATCCGCTGACCAGTATCACCTGACCGTATCGCGATCCATCAAGGTCGAGTATTTTTTTGAAGTTATCCGCTGACAATTTATTTGTTTTCAAATGATTGCAGGTTCACGTTTACATTTTTTTAAATTCATATCAAATTTGTTGTGTTTATGTCAGTATCGCCCCGCACTATTACGATTTTGATTTCAAACTGACCTCAGACGCAAAAATTCAGCCAGTTTTTTAAAATACAGGCGGGTAAGACCTTTTCTAACCATGGTCACGTGTTGGTCACGTTCCACGTCCAATTTTTATGCTCTGATTGGTTAAAATTTGACAGGTGAGTTCATGCGTAAAATTTATGCAGCATCTTGAAAGTTGCTTACTTTGACAGCTGAAGCTGACAGAGTTTTGAGTCAACTTGTGATGTTTTTAACTCTCTTTTTCCACTGGATGTAAAAAATGAAATACAGCTGCTATCAAGAGTGTTCTCTTATTCATGGCTGGTTTCTTTATTGGGTTTTTGGTTGAGAAATGCGTCGCTTGTCAAAGCCGATAATCCGATTTCGGATGGCATCGTTTTTGTTTTTCACCTTGCTGGATGCGTACGAGAATTATAAAGGTTCAAGCGATCCTTGCCTTACTTAATAGCTTTCAGGAGCTGCATCTCGAAATATGGTAAGCCTGAGTAATTATTGTATTTATATCTAATTTCATCAAGTCCAGCGGCGCAGTTTATGAAGCTAGTTTATGCACGTTTGTATTAAGATTTGACTGAGACACTGATCTGACCTAGTATGAGGTTTGATATAAGCTTAAGCTTACAAAACTTTAAAAAACCTTTAGTCGATATTAATTCACCGTAAATAGAAAGGAAAAACTTTCCGAAGAATATTTAGTTATAATTTTGGCTGTAGAAACACCTGTAGAAAGAAAGCTTTTAGCGATTTTCTTGTCGTGAGTTCATAAAAAAAGCAAACACCGGGAAACAGGCGGCTTAAAACATAAACTTAATCTTTAAGCTTACTAGTAAAGACTTGAGGATTCTTAGAGACACTTAAATACTCATTTGTTTTCGTGAATGAAAATTGTTGTCTCTGTAAATGTTCTACAGAATTACATTTCTTTATTGATTGTTGGTAGTCTCAAAAGTGTTTTTTTCATCGCTTTGCCGTTTGTTTTTAGGCGTTCATAAACATCGCTTGCAGGAGTACTCAAAATGCCAAGCGTATCAAACGCTTTTTAAGATTACACATCGTTATAAAACCATTAAGAAAAAATAGACTCAATAAATTCTTTATCACGTTGAAGCGTAACTCTTTTAAAATTTCTTCGCAAATTTGGCGCTTGTCAAAAGTTAGAACCGACTGGCCGTAGAGTATGTGGTTCCTGGTCCGCATAAAAGTCATTAACTTGAATATCTTACCCGAATCTTCATGTAAAGAGCTGAAATACTCCCTGAAGATAGCTTTTATGTTCCTGTCGATAATCCTGAAGTTTCAAGTTCCAGACATAAATATTTTGCTTGGAATTCGAAAAAAGGCGACCGTTTTCGATGGTCCTTGGTCCGCGAACCTGGTCCTTGGTCCGCGTCTCAGGTAAGCAGCACGATAAAAACGTAAAAATGTTATAGTTTCCACACGAAAACATGATTTTCACAGTATTTCTTGTATTTTTTTCTTTTCTTGATGCAATTAAGCTAAAGTTTTTTTCGGAAGATGTTGTGAGCATAAAATAATCTGCTCTTCTTTCAAAGACTTCAGACAACAGTCTCCTCGAGTCTCCCACACGAGCGTCGACGAGCGGTTTTTAGCGTGGTCGAAAATAATTACCAAAAACTCTGTATGTACTCGAGGTATTAAAAAAGAGAACTTGTAGACATGTATAGGGACGACTTTCAAAACATTCTTCGAAAACAAAGGCCGTCGCTTTTAACTTTGGGAAGTTTTATTCAACCAAGGTCATAGGACGCGGACCAAGGACCACTAAGGGACGGTTTATTATTTATGAGGATGACCGGATTGGGAAAAAAATAATAGCTTTCCTCTTTCTTTCTAAAGCCCGCCCAAAAGGCATTTTGTTTTTTCGTAGCCCGTTCAGTATTTAGGGTCAAATTTTTCAAAGCCCGTTCAAATTGAACTGAGTACCTTGTGAAAATCATTCAATGTTTATTTACGACTAGAGCAACTAGTGCATGTTCGGATCAAGTACACAACTGTTCGCCGTTCGAGTCAGCAAACGGCTATCAAAGGAGTTCAGCGATTACAAACGATAATTTATTAACATCTGTGAAAAGTGCACGTTAACAAATGCCATCCAGCTTGAGGCATTTCATCGTTTGCCAAATAAGTGAAAAAGTCCTAAATATATCTTTGAACACGGATATATAACCGTTCGTATTAAATGACTTGCAAGAGGCGTTTGGAGTTTTCCAACCTCTCCAAAGAGAACTTCTTGTGGAGTAACGTTTCCCTTGAAAGTTTTCGACATTTTGTTAAAGGAATAAGTTTCCACAAACATGTTTTTAAACACGTTCGCGAGACGTTCACGAGGACATTCAAAACTTTGTTCCAGGTCTCTGTTGCAGCAGCAAGACATGGGAAGACTGGTAACTAATGTCCACAGGGCATGAAAAAATGAAACGGATTTATACGATTTATATTGTGGTGTTTCATATTAGGTTCTGTTATAGCGCCCAAATTAATTTTTTTAAAAAGTCAACTGTTTGCAAACTCAATCAAAACCATAAAATTCCTCTTCATCTGAATCGCTTTGGAAGACAAACCATATCTTTTCACTTTCATCGATGCTATAACGTTCCCGTTCGCGTGATGAAGTCGCGATCGTGTCTTGGTCTGAGTCAGGCCCACTTAACAATTCTGCAAGGACAATATCCTCCTCACTTTCATCGTCCCCTGAGATGTCAATTTCCTCGTTGTCATCTTCCGTTCCACATTCCTTCGTCTCCTCGTCAGTAAACTCATTCGTATCTTCCTGTTGACCATGGTTTCCGAGAAGCACATGCAACGAGACTCTCCGTATCTTTTCAGCTTTGGTGCCGCTGCATACGAGTTTGTAATGTTTAAGGTATTTATTCAGCTCAGATTCAAGCAATTTTTTAAATCTCCAGACTCTACGAGATCGCGCCAGGCATATTCTCCAAACGTTTTGGACATCATTTACGTTCATTTTATGCTTTTGTTCTGCGCGCCCCCTTGTTCTAATGCCGCTTTGTATTTTAAGATCTTCTAAATGGGCAATGTATGCCTTGATCAAGTGCGGCTCCACGGCTAATTTCTCCGAAAACTGCTGGAGCTCTTCTTCCGTTGTTAACATGCCGTCACTAAACATTTTCTTTATGTTTGCATGTGGCTGAAAATCATCGGGCACTCGAGGCTGCCCGTTTCCTGTGGTAGTTGGTGTGTCATTGACCGATTTAAAATGGGTAGGATTTTCAGGATCTGGCACAGGCTGGGGAATACGTTTCATGGGCACTGGACTTGTCCATCCTTTGTTAGAACAAAATGAACAACGTTCAGTGATGGCTGTAGAATAGTCACCGTACAAGTACTCCATAAAGAGCTCACCAATTTTGTAATGGGAATCGATGAATCGTAGAATTTTTTTAATGTACGCACTTCCAGGGACACACGATTTCTTATTCTGAGTGGCAGATTGGTATTCCTTAAGATTACTTTTGTTGAAAAAAAAGTTGTCAGCTTCATTTTTTTCAGCAAGGAGAGCACTGTGGTGCGTGCAGAAAAAATATTTTCAATTCAGTAGGAGTTGCAACTTGAGATCCTCGATCAAAACATCTTGTTTTTTTGTGTACAGTCTGGCGGAGTCCAAAGATTTAATATTCCAACCGTTGGAGTTCACTTTGAGTAAAATCCTTGTACATGCATCATTTGAAATTCTAATTTGATTACAAGGTCTGAAATGTCAAGGAATATAAACAACTATAAAAGAGCAGCTCACAAAGTACATTTGTGTCATTCCATGGCCTGTCAAAATTCTCGAGTGTTCGATCGCAAAACGCGAGCTTTTTCTTGCGGGTATATCCCTGCATTACCAAAAATATTGTAGCAATATTTATTTGATGTGAAAGAAGTACGACAATTTACCGGGTGAATTTTCAACGACGAATACAGTTTCCATGTGTTGTTCTCATCAAACGACTGCCGCGTTTCTACCACAGTTTTAGTTTATGTTGATTTTTTTTAAAGCCTGGTCTCTTTGTTCAAGAAAAAAACACAAAGCCCGTCGCCACGGCAAGAAAAATTTCCAAAGCCCGTTCGGTTTTTTCCCGACCCGGTCATTCCCATAAATAATGAACCGTCCCTAAGCGAAATTTGGTGATATTTTTTAAGAGTCGCTAAAACAAAAATTCAGAGTCTACAGCAATATGCTTCCAACAGCAGAAAAAAGTTGATCTGAAAACCTGTTCTGCAAAAAGGCAAGTCTTCCCGTTGCGTTTTAGTTATTCGCAGGCTAAGTAAACATGACCACGTAATTTACGGTGCCGCAAAAATCCAAACTTCAAGAAAGACAAATTAACCTACCTGTCAACAAACTTTAATTTCGCGTCTTCACCCGCAGCAAGAAGGCTGAAACTTCGTCGTATGAAAGAATGCTAATCAGTAAATCATGATATCTTTCATTATTCAACGTATTTTTTTTCTTGACGAAATATTTTATCATTTTCGGAGAAGACGCGGACCAAGGGCATCGGGGACTTGCGCAGACCAAGGACCACATACTGTATAGGTGATTTTGGACATTTTTTGAACGGTTTCGCTGATTAAAAGTCCACGCGTTCTTCGATGGTCCTGAGTATTGAATGAATGCAATTTGTATAGGTAATAGCATGATTTGTAGTGATATTTGGCATAAATACCACGAGTGATATTTCGAAATTGTTATACGTAATTTCACGAGCCGTTAGGCGAGTGAAATTTGAGACAATTTTGAAATATCCCGAGTGGTATTTATGCCAAATATCACTACAAATCATGCTATTATTTGTTTATACCACTACCCGCAAAAAGGTTGTAATTTTCACATGTAGGTATTTCAAATTAAGCTGAAATACCACTGCTCTAAGCCAATCAAATTGCAGAAATTTCTCATGTAGTTGTGTAAGCCTTGAAAAATTGTGAAATACTGCATTTTGTACGAGGTCTGTATGATAAAAAAAGCGCCTCATAGTACTGTTTCTCCTCAGATGTGGTGTATAAAATAAATAAATAAATAAATAAATAAATGGTTTGCACGCACCCAGATTTATTGGCAAGAATTTGTAAACTTGGCGAACGCAAAAAATTCGGCCTGATTTGTTTTCCAAGAATTTGTTTTCCACGCCTTATCTACTGTGATCAAGAGCCATTATTGCTCATAAATGTGACCGAAGACTATTTTTTGGTTGTACATATAAGGCTATATCAACTCGATACAAGGTTTGTTTCACTCCAAAATCACTTAGCTTTTCCCTCAAAAGTCACATGAATGTGCCCTTACGTTAACTGATTTGTGGAATACAAAATTATTGTTTGATTTAAGTTATAAATTTATCAATGGGAGCTTCGCTTTTAGCTGTGGCTAAATATATATATTAAATTTATCCTTTGATTTAAGTTATAAATTTATCAATGGGAGCTTCGCTTTTAGCTGTAGCTAAATCTATATATTAGATCTTACTTTTGCGTCTGCTGAGAAGAAACTTAAAGTATGACCATTCACTGCATTCAAACAGAATCTTATTCTTTAACTGTTGTGAGCGTCATAATCTTATGGCAGTTCAATAAATCGAGATACGTGTTTTTCTCCTCTTGTAGCGTTTCCTGACAGATGAGACAAGAAATCACTCGTGCACACAAAGGATGGGCGCTTGACAACGTTGCTCTTGCCAACGACGTCACTAATATGATGAAGGAGGATGTATCGTATGTCCCTGCCGAAGGAGTTTACGTTCATGGCTTGTTTCTGGATGGCGCTGGCTGGGATCGAAGGAATTACAGGCTCATGGAACCCGCGCCTAAGGTTCTTTTTACCGCGCTGCCTGTGGTTCACGTTTACGCGGTTAATACGGCCGCTATGGCAAAAGACTCGAAAGATAACAAAGATGCGCTGAAGTTTTATGAGTGTCCTGTGTATAAGAAACCAAGGCGCAGACTTGACCTACATATTCTGTTTAAATCTCAAGACCTCGCAACATCCCGATCACTGGATTTTGCGTGGTGTGGCGCTTTTATGCGACACAAAGTAGCGATCTTTTTGAAGTGTGACATTTTTGTTTGTTTTTCTCTTATCTGTAAAACTTTCGTGTACATTTTTCACTAATAAGGAATCTGGTTCTGTCTCAGTGTGACACTGAATTTCGTTTTTATGGGAGCTCGTTTCCATACAAAAATCTAGTTCCTTTGACCGTCTTTTGTATATCGTGGTCCAAAAAATAGAATGATGCCCTTCTTACCTTCATTTCTTTTTCCGGAACAGAAAAGCATTTTTGTCCTCTCCCAAAACAAAAAGTAGCTGATCGCAGGTTTAACTTAGTGGTGGATGCAAGGAAAAACCAAACAGAAAATGCATTTATTTTGGGGTACTAAGTTGTTCTATAAAGTTTTGCGAGTTATATTTTTATTGAAAACTTGGAAATTTAATTTCTTAACGTAACGTATTTGACGCATTTATTTTTGTGTAACAACGAACTAGCGGCCAGTACTTGCGGGATTTCACTAATTTTATTTTTTTACTTACTTGAGGATTTACTTGCCTGGCATTTGAAGTGGTAAGGGAAATACTCAGGCGGTGTGCGCACTACGATCGCTAAGCATCATGGGCGGTATTCAAAATCTGATCATTTGTGTCAAGATGGCGTGGAGTGAACGTCTCGACTGCGGAGTGAATATTCGTTAATTACGCTGTAGATATATACGATTTTGCTTTGAATCTCTTCCGAAAGCTGTTGAAAGAGAAATTCTGTCCAATTCTCAGGGAAAAAACAGTCTCATTCCGTTGATAAGTGTATTCTGGTGTATTTTGTTCGTAATCACTTGCATCCTGTTTGCAACTGACCGAGAAAAGTCGGCACAGAAACGCTTTGTTCAATGCTTCAATCATGAAAAGTACTGGAGGTAAGACCCGCGGTTCGCCGAAAATTGTGAATTCACCGTGAAATCAGTACAACTAGTGCTAAGAGGTACTGATATGCATAGCTGTGATATACTCATAAAATACGAGGAGCTTCAGAATACCCGGCCACGGTATTTAAACACAGTGAGCTTACTTTGCTTTGTCATTCAGCATGGCAAGATGTTCACTTGCTAGCTGTAATAAGAGAATCGAAGTTAAGGGGGTCATCTTTTCAAGGACTTGTTTCTCTTTTGGTACCAAGTCTGCATTTCGTTTTGCTTAACATCTGTAATTTTGTCATCACATGAAGACAAGTAAATAAAGTACAGAGTATTTGTGTGCAATGAACTTGTGTCCTCTTTATAGATAATATAACATTGAGCATCTTTATTTGCCCATATATTTTCTATTGGTATGAGTCATAGAATGTCTTATAACTGGATTGAAACTGAAAATGGCATATTTGTGATTACAAAGCCTGATGCAGTCAATAGATTTTAAAAGCTTCAGCCACTATTTGTTTAATGATTGTGTCAGTATGTAAAAACACATGTTATCACATATTTTTTTGGATTATAAAAACTCTTCAAAGTGTGAAATTCATACATGTTTACAAATCTCCTGTAATCAGGGCTGGGGCAACATAGCTTGAGACCCCTTTCCTCTCTCCTCACCCCAATTTTATAATTTAAATATGGCGTCATAGGTCTCATCATACTTACAGTCAACTCTGTTAAACAGACACTGAGGGGACCGTTCCTGAGCGCGTCGCGTTGGCCCGTCGCGTAGTCTTCATTTACGTAACCCCGCACAACTCCAGGGAGACCTTGGAACTAGGTTGTCCGTCAAATAGCTTAATTTTACGCACACTTTACATCTCTTGTAATCACTACTTTCATACAGACCATAATGCACCTTGTTTTCCCCCTCAGAATTTTGCATAACCATTGTTTCCAAAATCTCCAGGGTATTTTTAATACAGTCGTTCCAAGAGAAATCGAAAACAATGGTTATGCCAAGTTTTGGGGGGTAAACAAGGTGCTTTATGGTCTGTGTGAAAATGGTGAATACTTTGCTTTTTCCTGAACTTCTCACATCCCCGTCGACCTCTGTCGGACGGTGACGACGGTGGAGAGACCAGGGACCAGGCAACCTAACCACCGACCTTCCAACCGCTCTCACAGAGTAGACCACCGTTAACCGGCCTTCACGTACGATTTATCACGTTCAACATTTTAAAAAATGTTGAACGTGGATCACTTAGGGTGTGTTGACAGTGTTCCTTTAAGCGAATTCAAAAACAGATTTCTGATCCGAGATTTGCCGGATTTCGCGGTCGAAAGGAACGTGAAATCCGAAATTTGATTCGTGATCTTGGTAACCTTTCGCAAACGCGTGCAATATGCATGACAGCCTGAGCCTCTCAAGAAATGCCATGTTTAATTATGCGATTATACCGTGCAGAATTTTGTGGTCGGCAGTTCCAATAACGACGATGGGGCATAAACAGATCAAGAAAGGAGAGCGTTAAAGTTGAAAATTTACTAAAGGTTGTCGGCTCAGTTTGATCCAGTTTCGTAGCTCGGTTTTTTATGTAACACGATCGAGTGCCTATCGCGTCCACAAGCGAGTTTGTAGAAAGATAGCAGTTATTTGTCCCTTTACTTATTTGTGTTTTTAAGCAATCTTTAGCGACGAATGGTCAGCACATGGATATTTTACTGTACCACTATGAACAATCTTCTAGTGTTTTCAGATGTTTTACGGCAAATGGCAATAGTTAGGAAACTCTACGGGAATACTTCAACTGGGAATACAACTGGGTCACCTGACTAATTTCGAATCCACTGTGAATGGAACAGCGTAGATCACTAATCCGTTAATCTGGATTCGGATTCTTCGGATTTCAAATCCAATGTGAATCCTTTTTCAAAAAGGATTCACCAGATCAAAAATCCGAATTTGGATTTGGCGAAAGGAACGCGAAATCCATTTTAAGATCGAAAATCCATTTTGGATTCACCGAAAGGAACACACCCTTAATTGTGAATGGTGATGTATAGGTGTTCTATACGCGAAAGGTTAACTGAGAAATTGCACAACTGTAATGGTTTCTTTACAACGCATCGCTATCCCCCTTTTAATTGCTAAAATTCCGACAAAGACAAAAAAATTTCGTTTAATTTCCGACAGCGACGTGAAGCATTAATAAACACCGACACGAGACGTTTTAAAATTCAGACGAACGACATGGGAGCCCCCCCCCCCCCCCCCCCCCCCGC